ATTCTGATTCTGATTCTGATTCAGAAACATCTGGACAGATGTGAGGTCATCGATGGTCCTGTTGTATCACAGGACGGACCATCACTTTGTCTCACTGACTCGTCTACACGAGCCGTCTGTAATCTCACAATTTCAACTTTGTTCTCAAAATCAGTAACATTATTTACGTGAACGTTGATGCTGACGTTCCTTCGTAGATTTCACCTGCTGAGGTTCTGCTGATGAGTAAGTAACGTCTCGATGTAACTATAACAACCTCTGAGAAAACACACGACCATCAGATAAAGGTGTGGGCTTGTCTTCATGTTTGGCCTCCATCTGCTTACATGCAGCTTTGCCTCCAGACCCAGATTCCAACCTAATGATGGGGGTAGCCAATCAGGACGAAGCCGGGGAGTCAGGCGGTAGCGTGCCGTCGCCGGTCGTCACTGAGACAGAGCAGGTGAGTCCAGAGATGGCTCATCTTTATTCATGGCTTCATCTTTGTTGGCAGCGCTCGCAGGTCGCTCTTCTTCTCCACATTTGCTGCTTTGTTCTTTCTGTAAACGGCGCCTCTGATCAAGTTCAAAGCCCGGCCCTTCTGACAGTCTCTCTTCATCAGCCTGACACGTTTTTCTGCGTCTTCAAAACCACTTTTCCTCATTTTCATGTTCCCGTACGTCTGTGCGTTTAGAGCGGTAATTATGCGCCGCGTAGCCGCTCGTCCCGCTGTGGATTTTAGGCGTGTTTTCAGTAATGTTTTTGTTCACCGTGAACTATTTTAAATGTTCGTATTTTCATTGCGCTGTCTTTTATCTCAAACGTCCTGCTTTTCAGATCGTGACAGACTTCTCTTCTTCCTGTTCCTCGCCACCGTTGTCAGCGACTCCACTCGTGTCGTTTTCCACATGCAAACAATAATCAGTATTTTATCAGTGAAGCTCGTTGCCCCTCCTGACACAAGACACCGAGAAGCATCTGAATGTCTGCAGGCCGTCACATCTCGTCCCATCTCACGCATCAAGTCAGTCACATCATCAGTAAATAAATGCGGCAGCGTGCAAAGACCGGCCGCACACGCTCAGAGCGCAGCTGACGAGCGTGTGCAGACCAGTCGACGTCTTCCATACAAATTTCACAAGGTTTTCTTCATTTTACTCAGCAACTTCCAGCAACCGCTCACCATCCAGCTGGGGATTTGTTTTCCTTAGCAACCAGAGGTCGCCAGGCGGTTGTCAGTGGCTCTGTATACACGTGCAACCAGAGACCACAGGAAGTGAAGAACATGCTAGTGCTAGCTGCTTCCAGGTGACTGAAGCAACTACCAATGCGAGTGAAGAGTACCTTTGACTGATAATAATAATAATAACCTGGTAATAAATATATTAGACGGTCACCTAGGTAACCGGAGCCTGGAACGTCCAACCAGCTCTCAGCTTCTAAGTAACAAACAAATCGCTGCCATCGTGGACACAGCGTTAGCGTCATTTCCTGTTTTAGGCTAGTTTCTCACCGTGTCGTGTCTTACTTCCCGTTTTTGTGATTTTTCTGCCCCGCCCACATCGTCTCCACCTGTGTCCTGTTTTCCTGCTCATTACCTTTTTCATCTTTTTTTTTATTTTTCATGTTTTTGGGTACATTTCTGTACAGACTCTTGATGGTGTCACAAATCAAGAAAGGATGTAAAAACTTGCTGTGAAAATGCGTCTAAGAAAAGTCTGCTGGCCACAGGAAACAGGAAATGGAAGCAGGAGATACTTGAACCTGCAGAGGGAGGGTGGGCACTCCTCTGAGAGGTTTGCATTACCCACCCTCGTGTGAGCGCGCTCACTGATCCAAAGCGCCTCCAAATAAGTTTCCTCTGAAGCTCTGCAGCTCACAGCGGAGGACCACTTAAAGCAAATTGACTTTACTGATGTGAATTATGACGATACTGATATCATGCATAAAGTTATTTACCCTCCGAAGGATTGAAATAAGTCATTCCCTCAGATACGGGGAACTAATATGAATGCAAATAGGATTAGGCTCCTGCATTAGTGTCTGATAAACAATTTACAGGCCTGAGCGTTCACCAGGGGATTCGCTCCACGCGGCGCCTGGAACGGGGGGGGGTTAACCCTCCATCCTCTGCGTGCGTTCGCCTTCACCGCGTCTGCAGACAAATAAAGAAATGCAGATTATTGGCGAGGTCGCCGATTTACGTTTAAATCAGATCCGATCTGTCCCGAAGGGGAAGCTCCGACCGAGGACGACGCAACAAATGGAATTACAGCCAAACCGCAGAGCGAGCACGTGGTGAACGACGCCCCGCAGGCCGCTGCTGACAGTTAATATGCAGCGAGAGTTGAGCCGATGCATCTCAGGTGTGCCCGAACCTGCAGCGTGTCCATTTCTACTTTAAATTTTAAAACGGGCCCAGCTTCTTGAACTTCGCCACTGAAGGCAGGAAAGCCATGAGAAGATGTGTGCAGAGTTCACTGAAGCAGCTCACCCACTCTCAGGCTGCTGTTTGACTATCCCGCGCTCTTATTTTGAAAGCGTAGGCCCTTCCTGTCTGGTTGGACATGTTTAGTCTGGGAGTCCTGGCCCCACAAGCTGAGAAACTCCGATCAAATCAAAGCCAATAAAGTTAAAAACAGAGCCCATCCTCGCCACGCTGACTCGTCTGAGGACACTGAGGTCGTCCTGCAACGGAGCAGGATATTGTGTCACTAAGTTACAGCAGCTTTGCATGACTCACAGCTTAAAATAATCCTTATTTGTTTTATACTCAACTCATTCTGTGACTCACACAAGCTCCTCCCCTTTTAAGACATCTTTCTGATGATTGGCCAACTTCATCACTAGCGCTGTTTAGTGAGAAAGTCCTGTTTAATACTTCAGATGGACATTTTAAATGTACTCTGAGTACTTTTTCTCTGATTATTAAAGTACACTTTGTTCCAGAGACTGCAGTACTTTTACGTGTACTCTGTGTGCTGTGGGGTAAAAGTGTCATCAGCCTCTTTCCACAGCACATGACGAACCTGATCACATGTCCACACAAACATACGACCATGTAAAACGAACAACAATCTGATTGTCGCGTGGAAGCTCTGAGATTTCTTCCTCACTGGTGAGAAAAGTTTATAACTTCTGCCTTTGAAGCTTTGATGCTGCTCAGTCTTTGCCTGGTACATAATGTCTGAAACGAGCCCCTGCGTGACTGTAACACGCCAGGCTTCACCGCCAAACCTGGAGAATCGTGTAGACATAGTAGCAATGGGTGCCTCGGCCAGCGTGGTGTTCAGACATTTTGTTTATCAGTAAACGTGCTCTCATCTAATGATCCAGCTGATCCAACGAGTGCTTGTTGGTCCACAGAGAAACACAGAGATGGTGGCTCGAGGCCGCCGGCCTGACGGATGTTTTAAACCTGGGACTGCGGTCGAAGAAGCATCGCTGCAGAAAGTGGGCGGACCCTCAGACCCGCCGACCTTCGCGGCGGTGAGCGCGAGCAGGCCGACCTCCAGCGGCGACGGAGGAGACGTGACCTGCTGCGACCTGCTGTCTCTGAGGAGCGACTCGGTATCTTTGGCCAGCGAGTCCAACGTGTTCGGGAGGGTGAGTGAAAGACGAAGAGCCGGGGCGTTCACGCAGACTTTTGTTTCCGAAGCAGGAAATCGGAAATGCCGAGCAGCTGTTGGGATTGGTTTACACCAGCCAGAGGTGTGGACTCGAGTCACATGACTTGGACTCGAGTCAGACTCGAGTCGTTAATTTTATGACTTTAGACTTGACTTGAAAAAATGCTCTAAGACTGTGACTTGACTTGGACTTTTACACCAATGACTTGGGACTTGAATTGGACTTGAACCGGTTTACTTGAAAAGACTTGATGTTTCACCCCAAATATAAAATTTAACACGCATACTATATTATATTATATAGAAAGTGTGCACCATTAATTCAATTCATTCATTTATTCAAACCACACTCCGTACGTATGTGTGCGTGAGCTGTAGCACAGCCAATCAAATTAACCAGATTTTCTTGTTTTTAAAAAGAAAAAGAAAAAAAACGCTCAAATGCTGCAAGGAGATTTTTTTTTTCAGGTACATAAACTATGAAGTAGTCAACAAAAACCCGAAATGCAATATGCAAAACATGCAAGTAGAGAATCACAGACAGAGATGGAACAACTTCCAACTTTCTCCGACGGTTGAAGTTGTATAAAGAACGGTAGGCGGGGCTTCATGACTTCATCTAACTAGCAAATGTTGTCCAGGCTCCGTTGGTGATACAGTTTTTTTTAATGTGTATGATATTTTTGTCATGCGATTTTAAAGCTGGTCCTACAAGCGCATCCAAGAATAACATGCAGCTTATCTCAGTCGGTGAAAATTATTCTTGGAGCTAGGTTTAATTGAGCTGCATTTTAAAGAGGTGCAATTTCACAATTTGTGTATATTTTCTAAGTTCACTATTTCGTCATGTGTTGAGAAAAACACAGATTTAAAAATTACATGGTCTAATATTTACATTTAGCATAACTGCAACATTCTGGGGGGTTTTTTTTGTTTTTTTTTTAAGTCCTCGAAAGGACTTGAAATGCAAAGTTTCAGACTTGTGACTTTACTCGGACTTTTACACCAGTGACTTGAGACTCGACTCTGACTTGCCTGACATTACTTGAGACTTGACTTGTGACTTGAGGATAAAGACTTGAGACTTACTTGAGACTTGCAAAACAATGACTTGGTCCCACCTCTGCCTGTACCAGCTCTGCTGGGTGTTTGTGAGTCTGACAATAATGAACTGTTACACAAATCTGGGTCTGTGAACACAGAAACTCACATTATGTGACATCACTCCTCGCTCCGATCACGGAACGCCAAAATAAAAGCACAAAGAAATAGGAAATATTTGCTGTAAATAGTTCACAGCAACATGTGTTGCTTCAGACCGAGGTGATTTCTGTGGCATAAAGAAGAATCACGCTTCCATGATTAACTTATTTGTTTGTCCATCATGGACTGAGCACAGAAACGCTGAGCTCTGTGGGCAGGTACACATCAGGTATAACATCCATATGCATATCCAGGATGCCTGCAAATCCAGCCCATACTGTCCACAACCAGAGAGCTAGCTTCTTACAGTGCAGTTTGTTCCACGATGAGGACAGAGGGGAGGGTCTGCATGTTAACACGTTTGGGCCAAAGTGCAGCTTCTTCCTGTAACGATGGAGCTGCAGCTAAAGTGATGTCAGCGGTTCAGAGTGCAGGTACGCCCTAGGTGACATCACATGGTCACTGTTTGTTCAGAACAAACCTTCAGTAAGAGTCAGACAACACTGCAGTAAATGTTTGAATTTTTGAATGGAGTCTGGTGTGTGGCTGAGGTTCTCGTCACATTGTACCCAGACTGTGATGTCAACAGAACCAAAGCTAAACCGTGAGTGAAACAGGAAGACCCGCCCACTTCTCCCCTCCACGTTTATCACGGTGGTAATAAAGTGTAACGCACTGATAGAAACTATTGTGTTTAATTACCCTTAATTGGGTTTATCATTTATTAATGAGTGTTGTGAAGTTCGTTGACCTTAAACTAAAGGATGAGCTTGAATGAGGAGAAACAGGAAGTGCTCAGGTGAAGTCAGGTGAGCTCAGCCTGAGCGAGGCTCCGTCTACGTTTTCATTCAGGATTTTTAATGCGATCAAATCTGTTTCACCTTTGCCGTCCCACCTTTTAGATCTGAGTAATCACACGTGTTTGCGCCCTCTCGTTCAGCCTCTCGCTCTTACATTCGGACGCCGGCGAGGAAAAGCTGACCCCATCTTGTCGTGATGAACCTAGTGGACTGAACGGACTCCCGCCCTCTGCAGAGGTATCATCACGCTGGCGGCAGGCTCCACATCCCCCCCGCCGAATGAAGCTACGGCGTAATCATAATTCTCTTGACCTCCGATGACCCCTGCGAGTCTCTGACAACGAGGGCCACGCGACACAACAGACGGCGCCGCCCGCTCCAAAATGGCTTTTTCATTTCTCGAACAATCACACTGCGGCAGCGCTGAATGAGAGGGCAGATTACATAAGGTGGGGGTTCCTGGGGTGAGATGAGAGCTTTTTCTCCAAAACGCCGCAGTCGTTATCGCTCTCATTAAATTCCTCCTCTGACTCGGAGCCTGCTTTGAATCCATCCATCGGAACAACACGGCAGCTGGAAATTCTCAATTAATATGTTAATGTGTGCAAGATATTTCATCACAGGAAGCAGAGCTCAGCGCGCTCACAGGTTAGCGCCAAATTACAGGAGACCCACAAACAGCATCATCCGAGCCCACAGCGGCGCTTTGGAGCAGGAACGGGCCCTGAAGGAGCTCCAGGAGAACCCTCCCACCCACAGAAAGTTTCCATAAACATACTGTTCGCTGTTCTTTAGCTTGTGCTCCAGGCCCGATACGTCCGTGAGACCGAGTTTGGATC